CATTTGAGTGGGCTGCCAACACACTAGCCCAGACGAAAATACATTCCTACACAGCACTCCACAATGGCCAGTAGTATGTCCTAGTGTGCTGCGCAACAGCACTGCAGACAGCAGTAGATTACTATATATCTTAAAAATAAATAAAATATTTACCTAGATTAATTCCCAGGTCGCAATAATGATGTCAGTAATATGTATATAAAAGACACCTGTCCACAGAATCTCTTCCTTCCATTCAAACCTCACCACCATGGGCAAGACCACAGAGCTGTCAAAGGACGCTAGGGACAAGATTGTAGATCTGCACAAGCCTGGAATGGGCTACAAGACTATCAGCAAGAAGCTTGGTGAGAAGGAAACAACTGTTGGAGCGATTATTTGCAAATGGAGGGAATACAAAATAACCATCAATCGCCCTCGGTCTGGAGCTCCATGCAAGATTTGGCCTCATGGGGTAAGGATGATCACGAGAAAAGTGAGGGATCAGCCCAGAACTACACGAGAGGAGCTTGTGAATGATCTCAAGGCAGTCACTAAACAAACCATTGGTAACCCTATACACTGCCATGGATTGAGATCCTACAGCGCCGGCAAGGTGCCCCTCCTCAAGAAGGCACATGTACAGGCCCACCTGAAGTTTGCCAATGAACATCTAAATGATTCAGAGAAGGATTGGGAGAAAGTGCTGTGGTCAGATGAGACCAACATTGAGCTCTTTGGCATTAACTTGACTCGCCGTGTTTGGAGGAAGAAAAATGCTGACTATGACCCTAAGAACACCATCCCTACAGTCAAGCATGGAGGTGGAAACATTATGCTTTGGGGCTGTTTCTCTGCTAAAGGTACCGGCTGACTTTGCCGTATTCAGGGGCCATTGGACAGGGCCATGTATTGTAAAATCTTGGATGAGAACATCCTTCCCTCAGCCAGGACGGAGGGAGCTGAAACTTCGAGTTGCCAAGCGACAGCCAAGAAACCTTAAGGATTTAGAGAAGATCTGTAAAGAAGAGTGGACCAAAATCCCTCCTGAGATATGTGCAAACCTGATAAACAACTACAAGAAACGTCTTACATCTGTGCTGGCCAACAAGGGTTTCTCCACCAAGTACTAAGTCATGTTTTGCTTGGGGATCAAAAACTATTTCATTATTTTATTAACTATTAGTTATTTAATTTATTAAATATTGATTATTAAATGTTTATTATTTAATGGACACATCATAACAATTCTTTCTGCATAGCTCTCATCCCTGGCATATGTTACATACAGTATGTCACCGGTAGAACTTGAGCAGGAAGGAAAACATTACCAAGCGGACTTCTCTCCTGGGCTCCTCTCACCAGACGCTTTTGTCTGGGGGAATCGGATTGGCTGCATGGTGTGTGGTGTTACCGCACCCGGGTGACACCATTGGAGTGGTGACACCAAAATGACTCGCAGTCATTTTTGTGTCACCCCCCTCTGAAAATTCGGGCGCTCGGTCATGGACCGAACGCCCGACAGTATCAGGAGAGAGGAGGGGACCTGGCGGCATACCTTATGCCGCCGGGTGACTGTCCCCTCGTTTCTCTCCCTGCATCCATCACCAAGATGGCCGCCGGCAGGTATCATAATACTGCCGCGCGTGCGCGATGACGTCATCGCGCAAGCGCGTGGTGACGTCACGCGCATGCGCAGTGAAGTCACACACATGCACAGTGGCGTCTCAGTGTGGTGACACTCGGTTACCGCTTCTGGTGTCACCCAGCCTCGTGACGCCCCTGACTCCACGCACCATTGCTTTGCTTTCCTGTGTGTGTGTCCGTGTAACACATAATACACACACAATACACATACAACCAATAATACACACAAGGCACACACATACAACACCTAATACGCACACACAGCACACATAAGACCCATAATGCACACAAGTCACACACATAAGACCCATAATACACACAAGGCACACACGTAAGACCCATAGTACACACAAGGCACACACGTAAGACCCATAGTACACACAAGGCACACACATACAACCCATAATACACACAACATGCACACAACACATAATATGCACACACGCACGCGACACATAATACACACACAGAGCACACATAAGACCCATAATACACACAAGGCACACACATACGACACATAATACACACACATACGACACATAATACACACACATAAGACACATAATACACACAGCACACATAAGACACATAATACACACAAGGCACACTACACACACATACAGCATACATACGACCCATAATAGACACACATACAGCATACATACGACCCATAATACACACACATACAGCATACATACGACCCATAATACACACACATACAGCATACATACGACCCATAATACACACACATACAGCATACATACGACCCATAATACACACACATACAGCATACATACGACCCATAATACACACACATACAGCATACATACGACCCATAATACACACACATACAGCATACATACGACCCATAATACACACACATACAGCATACATACGACCCATAATACACACAAGGCACACACATGCGACCCATAATACACACAAGGCACACACATACGACCCATAATACACACAAGGCACACACATACGACCCATAATACACACAAGGCACACACATACGACCCATAATACACACAAGGCACACACATACGACCCATAATACACACAAGGCACACACATACGACCCATAATACACACAAGGCACACACATACGACCCATAATACACACTGTCTAAGGACCGCTGAAGTCATCAGGTCTTATGCAGGTCCATTGACTTGCATTAGATGTGAGGTCGCCAAGGTACATTCCATAGCCCGAGGGGGGGAGAGGTGAGCACTGACCGCTATGGGGCTGAGCATCAGGTAAGTAGCAATATAGCAGCTATGGGGCTGAGCAATATTTTCAATATAAAGCTGAGATTGAGAACATGAGGGCACAGCCTCATACTAGCAGGAGGAACGTTAAAAACTGGCCATACATGTTACAACCTGATTATACAATCTTCCATCAACTATGCAGTACATGGGCCTGAATGGACTATGAAGGTTAGCCTTCATATTATATAGTTTCTGTAGTCCTAAAGGAGATTGGGCAGAGATGATACTATCAAATTGTAACTGTGTATGGCCAGCTTAAGAGCAACATCCGAAAGTATTATTTTTCCAAAAGAGTAGTGAATACTTAGAACAGACTAAAGGGTGAGATGGTTAGATTCACTTACTGTTAATTTATTCACTATGGAGGGAATTTGTCAAAACTGGAGCAGACAAAATCTGGAGCAGCTGTGCATGGCAACCAATCAGCTTCTCTCTTTCATTTTCAAATCTTCACTGAACAAACTGAGGAGAGACGCTGATTGGTTGTCATGCACAGCTGCTCAGATTTTGTCTGCTCCAGTTTTCATAAATTCCCCCCAATGTGTTTCTATGATCTGGACACAATACATGTAATATATACATGCCAGGGAGAGATGACAACAAATATAAGACCAGCGTCCCACCCCGGGTTGGCTGCGTTTGAAGGTTCTATTGGCTAGCTTCTTTGTCAGTCAAGCAGCGCCTTATTCACTAGAGGGCTGAGTATATACAGTTGAAGCAGTGGTCTTCAAAACAATGGCCGCCAGATAGTAAAAACTCGTTTATTTCTGTGATGACTCATACGAATAACCAGCCGGTAGTTTGCAAGAGTTTTGAAGAGAATAGGGAAGACAAATACTGGACAGCCTGATCGAAAATCGGAGAGATTGAAACCCTGCCTGCACTGACTTCCTGTAAAGCGGAACCAATGTTGCTCGTTTCCGGAGGGACGTCTCTGTGTGTTGCAACAATCCCATGTGCAGCTGGGGGTAGTTCAGTTTTCAGTAGAAGTTGCTCATAGTTCCCTCAGGTCCAATGTGTAGGAATATCTAGAGGTATCTGTTGTCAGGTAAGGTGTGGGCTGTGTGTTGTCTGGGGGAGGGTCAAGGTGCTGTCATATATCTTGTGCCAAGGGAGGCACAGTATACGTGCAGAGCACATGGCAGCTGTGCAGAGTGTACATACCCATCACATGGCAGCTGTGCAGAGTGTACATACCCATCACATGGCAGCTGTGCAGAGTGTACATACCCATCACATGGCAGCTGTGCAGAGTGTACATAAGTTACAACCTGATTATACAATCTTCCATCAACTATGCAGTACATGGGCCTGAATGGACTATGAAGGTTAGCCTTCATATTATATAGTTTCTGTAGTCCTAAAGGAGATTGGGCAGAGATGATACTATCAAATTGTAACTGTGTATGGCCAGCTTAAGAGCAACATCCGAAAGTATTATTTTTCCAAAAGAGTAGTGAATACTTAGAACAGACTAAAGGGTGAGATGGTTAGATTCACTTACTGTTAATTTATTCACTATGGAGGGAATTTGTCAAAACTGGAGCAGACAAAATCTGGAGCAGCTGTGCATGGCAACCAATCAGCTTCTCTCTTTCATTTTCAAATCTTCACTGAACAAACTGAGGAGAGACGCTGATTGGTTGTCATGCACAGCTGCTCAGATTTTGTCTGCTCCAGTTTTCATAAATTCCCCCCAATGTGTTTCTATGATCTGGACACAATACATGTAATATATACATGCCAGGGAGAGATGACAACAAATATAAGACCAGCGTCCCACCCCGGGTTGGCTGCGTTTGAAGGTTCTATTGGCTAGCTTCTTTGTCAGTCAAGCAGCGCCTTATTCACTAGAGGGCTGAGTATATACAGTTGAAGCAGTGGTCTTCAAAACAATGGCCGCCAGATAGTAAAAACTCGTTTATTTCTGTGATGACTCATACGAATAACCAGCCGGTAGTTTGCAAGAGTTTTGAAGAGAATAGGGAAGACAAATACTGGACAGCCTGATCGAAAATCGGAGAGATTGAAACCCTGCCTGCACTGACTTCCTGTAAAGCGGAACCAATGTTGCTCGTTTCCGGAGGGACGTCTCTGTGTGTTGCAACAATCCCATGTGCAGCTGGGGGTAGTTCAGTTTTCAGTAGAAGTTGCTCATAGTTCCCTCAGGTCCAATGTGTAGGAATATCTAGAGGTATCTGTTGTCAGGTAAGGTGTGGGCTGTGTGTTGTCTGGGGGAGGGTCAAGGTGCTGTCATATATCTTGTGCCAAGGGAGGCACAGTATACGTGCAGAGCACATGGCAGCTGTGCAGAGTGTACATACCCATCACATGGCAGCTGTGCAGAGTGTACATACCCATCACATGGCAGCTGTGCAGAGTGTACATACCCATCACATGGCAGCTGTGCAGAGTGTACATATCCATCACATGGCATCTGTGCAGAGTGTACATACCCATCACATGGCAGCTGTGCAGAGCGTACATACCCATCACATGGCAGCTGTGCAGAGTGTACATATCCATCACATGGCAGCTGTGCAGAGTGTACATATCCATCACATAGCATCTGTGCAGAGTACATACCCATCACATGGCAGCTGTGCAGAGTGTACATATCCATCACATAGCAGCTGTGCAGAGTGTACATATCCATCACATAGCATCTGTGCAGAGTGTACATATCCATCACATAGCATCTGTGCAGAGTGCACATACCCATCACATGGCAGCTGTGCAGAGTGTACATACCCATTACATGGCAGCTGTGCAGAGTGTACATACCCATTACATGGCAGCTGTGCAGAGTGTACATAACCATCACGTGGCAGCTGTACACAGAGTACATACCTGGCTGCTGTGTACAGTATACATACCTGGCATGTGACAGCTCTATACAGTTTACATACCTGCCACATGACAGGTGTACACACCTAGTACACAACTGGCATGTGGCAGTTGTGCACAGGGAAATAAGTTATCCGCACTCCAAGGTCCAACATGTAAACACCTTTATTCAGACATTGTTGTTCAGATAAACAATATGGCGACACTAGTGGACAGCAACGTTTCGGAACCCTCCAAGGTCACTATGCTTGCCTGATGAAGGCACCTTGGACTGTTCTGAAACGTTGCTGTCCACCAGTGTTGCCATGTTGCGCTTACATGTTGGACCTTGGAGTGTGCGGGTGTCTTGGATTTGCCCGGTGCCATCCGCGGGTCATACCAGCACCCATCTTATGAACTTTGGGATTCTGGTCTGGTGCATGGTTGGACTTTAACTATTAGTTGTACACAGTGTACATACCTGGCCAGCGGCAGCTGTGCACAGTGTACATACCTGGCCAGCGGCAGCTGCGCACTGTGTACATACCCAGGCCAGTGGCAGCTGCACACAGTGTACATACCCAGGCCAGTGGCAGCTGCGCACAGTGTACATACCCAGGCCAGTGGCAGCTGCGCACAGTGTACATACCCAGGCCAGTGGCAGCTGCGCACCGTATACATACCCAGGCCAGTGGCAGCTGCGCACAGTGTACATACCCGGGCCAGTGGCAGCTGCGCACAGTGTACATACCCGGGCCAGTGGCAGCTGCGCACAGTGTACATACCCGGGCCAGTGGCAGCTGCGCAGAGTACTAGAAGTGTATAGGCACATGTAAATATTGCTTGGCAGCTTCCTTTGTGCTGTATGTGAGAAGTTGATTGAAATGAGTGAAACATTCCCAGATTGTTTTGTTATGGCATAGTGTTTAATAACAGCCCAGAGTTTCTCTTTAGAAATTTGAACCTCAGCCATCAAAACACATGTCATCAAAATAACTGGTATTTAGTGAGGCCGCCTTTTTTCAAATTAAGTACCACACTGAGGTTCATTGCTATAGATAATAACATAACAGTGTGAAACGTTGTGTTGGTTTTTTCTCCATAAATCTTTGGCAAATGGGCACCACCACCATGTTTGCTTTTCGATTTATATAATAATCCAACAGTGTCAGTTCATTAAGTGAAAGTCATTATGCAAATTTTGTCATTTCTGTTTTGCAGAACATTCCTCATCATGTTTAACAATGAGGAGGACGTTACAGCATATGAAGATGAGCTGTACCGTGAAGACTCTTCTAGCGATGAGAGTGTTGACAGTGAAGTGGAATTCTACCTCTATAGCCAGGTGCATTATTGCCAGAATCTTAACCAACCTAACTCCAAAGTTTCAGAGACAACTGGCGGAACGTCAGAGCAAACACAAAATGTGACCTCTGGCTTCACAAAAGAGAAGACCGGTGTGATAACTATTTCTGACAGTGATGACATCAGGGCCTCAGACTCCTCTGCAGTTATCATCCTGTCTGACAGTTTGGATGAAGACAGTGTAAATTTCTCCAAAACCAAAGGGAAATATTTTGGAACAGTTCGCCAACCCACAAATCAGTCCACTCCCAAAACCTTTACAACTCGAGCAAAAGTGTCAAGAGAGCGAAGGTCAAAATCTCTGAGCTCCGGCAAGAGCTACAAAGATGGATTTGTCCAGGAAGTTGTGGTGATAAGGGGAAGCTCAGATGAGGGAGAGGCTAATTATGAAGACTTCTTAACATCAGACAGTGAACAAAGTGGAGTTGAAAACTGGATGTTGTTGGGAAAGGCAAAAGAAGATGGAGACGCGAGTATTCAGTTGAACCTAGAAGGCTACAGACGTTTAAGCGAGGGTTTGTTTTTTAAGTTCTTTCTTGTTTGTTTTTTATAGGCTTACCTACAAAGGCATTTTTTCTGTATGTTAGAACTGATTTCCCCTATAATATTCAATAAGAATACAAAAACAGCATGAAGTCACTTGATGCATCTTAGGTCAGAAACACTTGTAAAGGAACTTAGAAGTATCTCAAAATTATCTTAAATGTAAGTTAAATATTCCCAAACTAGGGATGCACCGATACTAGTATCGCTGCCGATGCCAAGTATTTGGGCGAGTACCCGTACTCGCCCAAAGGCTCCGATGCCTAGCCCGATACTTCCGGTATCCGAAAGCCAGGCAGCGTGTCATTATACGCTGCCCGGTTTCCTGATTGGCCGGGAAACCGGCTTTATGCTCTCTCGTCACTTGTGACACCAGAGCATGGAGCTGGCTTCCTGACTGGTCGGAAGCTGGCCAATCGGGAAGCCAGGCGCCGTGCAATGACGTGGCGCCCGGCTTTCTGATTGGTTGGGAAGCCGGCTACATGCTCCCTCATCACCTCATGACGAGGGAGCATGGAGCCGGCTTCCCAGCCAATCAGGAAGCCGGGCCCTGCGTCATAACACATCGCCCGGCTTTATGAATGGCCAGAAAGCCAGCTCCATGCTTTCTAGTCACCTGGTGATGAGAAGCATGGGGACGGCTTCCCTGCTAATCGGTAAGCTGGGTGGCAAGTCTTTACACGCTTCCTGGCTAACCAGGATGCCAGGTGTGAAGTCATTACACGCCACCTGGCTTCCTAAATGGGACTTGCGTTACTCGGTATCGGCGAGTGCCGAAAGAAAATATTGGTACTCGATACTAAAATACCGGTATCGGTGCATCCCTATCCTAAACCTATCTAAACAAGCCCTAACCCATAGGTCTAGTCAATGGCCATGGCGTGATGAAGATATCCCCGTATGAGACACCCTTAAAAGTCTAGCAGGATACAGAATCCTGGAGTGGTAGACTACTAAACATGTGGGAAATAATTCACCTAGAGCGGTTTTTAGGGTTGTAAGTGAAAGTCACTAGACTTCTAAAGCATAATCTAGACCTCCACTGAAGAATGTGGGAGATCTACCACCCCATTTTAGCATCCATAGGAAAAAGACAATAGTAGCTCACAGAGAGATGGTTTTTAAACTATTTCATTTTCCATTGACATTTCTTCTCATGTCACTCCTGTTAAATAGCGCAATTCAGGGCACATCTCTTTTTCAGCATTTTGTGAGGGCCTGTGTCCTGAAATTGGGTTGTTTGTGCAGTGGGTTGTTTGGTTGTTTCAGTTAGTGTAACTCCATGTTTCTTAACAGTTAACAGGCAATTTTGTTTGGGTAACAGCCCTTTTTTCCCTTATCTTTAATTTTATGGACTCATGGCCATAACTATTAAGTTGGCATTTGTGTGTGTTTTAAAGGCAAAATCCACCCAAAAAGTATTAGTTCATGTTTGGGAGATAACTATAGGACCCCCCTCCCTCTCTGTACTCTACAAGGCATTGCTAAGACCTCAGTAACCTATCAAGAAGTCTGGTCACTGCCTCATGAGATGCGGGGAAGGATGAGCCTTTCAGAAAGTCAGTAATTGTAAGAATTTGAGTTTTTGCATTTTCAGATTTGTTGTGAAGAGCTGACATGTACCAATAGAAGTTTTAAACGGCACTTTTTGGTGCCTACTCTTGTTTGTTTGATTTGTTTGATTTTTATCTTTAGAAATCCACTTTTGACCAACCTATTAATATTCCATGGGGACGCAAGTAGTAATTTAGACACATGAAGCCCAGTAGACATGGTGTATCTAGACTTTGCAAAATCATAGATAAGTACCCCACAAACTTTTAATTTTCAAATTAGGTTCTATTGGTATTGGTGAAAAACTGGCTACAGAAATGAATCCAGAGGGTCGTTATAAATAGCCTTGAGTAGAGTACCCTAGGGTTCACTTCTGGGACCAGTTCTGTTTATCTTATTCATAAATGATTTAGAGGTTGACATAAATAGCTCAATCTCAGTGTTTTCTGAATAAACTAAGCCATGTAGGGCAATAACTTCACAGCAAGACAAAATCACTGCAGCAAGACCTAGATAAAATTGAAGAGTGGGCTGCAACATGGCAGATGCGATCCAGTATTGAGAAATGCAAAGTTCTGCACATGGGAACTAAGAACATGCATACAAATCACTATCTAGGAGGTGCTCCTCTGCAGAAGTCGGGCCTGGAGAAAAACCTGGGGCGCTCATAGATCACAGACTCGGCAATAGCATGCAAGGCCAATGCTGCAACTAACTGAGCAAGATACTATGCTGCAATAAAAGAGGGATTTATTGCAAGAGGTAAAAACTTAATACTACCACTTTATAAATCTCTGGTTTGGCCTCACCTTGATTTTGTAGTTCAGTTTTGGTCACCAATCTTCAGGAAAGATGTCCTCAAACTTGAGAGGGTTCTGAGAAGGGCAACAAAATTAACAAAAGGGATGGAACGCCTAAGTTATGAAGATCACTTCCAGAAATTAAACTTAAAATGAACTTGGCCTAACCTTGTACTAAATATTGTTTATTTTGTATGTTAATTTTAACAAGCTCCTGAAGACTTTAGGCTGACCCTTTCTTAGGGACTTCTGGTAGTCCTTTTTCTTGTTTCAGATTGACAAGTAAATAACAAAAGGAATTGCCTGTTGTACAATGTGTGCTATAGTACAGGGTGATAACATAGTAATACACATACATGTAATCTTGGTCAGGCATATTTTCTTAAAAATGAAGCTTTATCTAAAATATGCGTATACTGTAAAATTAATTTAATTGCCCATAGCTGGCACTTAGTGACTTTTAGAAAGTCAAATCTTTAAACTAGGGATGTACTGATACTAGTATCGGTATTGGGGCTGATAAAGGGCATTTTCATGAGTATTTATACTCATGATAATGCCCCGATATTAAAGGCCTATACTGTCCCTTGAAATTTTTAAGCAAGAGCGGCTGCCTGAGGTCCTGCACTTGCTGGGGACCTCAGGCAACTATCTTTAACAGTGCCGGTCTGGCCGCCCATCACCTCTTGCTCTTTCCCCAGACCGGGACAGTAAAGGACAGCCCCACACCCACACGTACAGCCCTGGAGCCTGGTACGAGCCTTGCACCCACCCGTTCAGCCCTGGAGAGCCTGGCACCCACCCTCCGAGCCTTGGAGAGCCCGGCACCCACCTGTACAGCCCTGTATAATTGCTGTATAATCTGTAGTTCTCTATTGTTGGCTGCCATTCTCCATTGCTGAATAATCATGGATTGCTGAGATTTGTAGTCCTCTATAGCCAGTTGCCATTCTCCGTTGCTGTATAATCAATGATTATACAGCAAAAAAGGCAACCCGCTATAAAGGACTACAAATCTCAGCAATCCATGATTGCTGGTTGCAATTCTCCATTGCTGAATAACCATGGATTGCTGAGATTTGTTCCAGTACTTCATAATTATAAAGAAACTGCCCTAAAATCATTAGTTTGTATTGTTTTAGAAAAAAATGTCACATGTCCATTTAAGAAAAAGTATCGGTGATTGGTATTGGCAACTACCTGAGGGAAAGTACTTGGTCTTGAAAAAATGGTATCGGGACATCCCTGCTTACCCAACTAATGCGTGGGTTTCCTCTCAAAGTAAGAAGTGGTGAAACAGCAGTAAGGTCAATAATTGTATCCCAAGTGAAAAGATTTCAAATTGCATTACCTTGAACAATGGTAAGCTGTTATAAAAAGGGCAATTGCACCACACATAATCAGTATCACCATGCAGCTGGGGTAAGAGCAATAATTTTATGACAATCATTCAGTATTGACTCTAAACTGATGAGCTGTAAAGGCATTTATAGAGTCACCTATGGAGGATGGGTTGCTATAGAAGCCACATTTGCAAGATCTGTAACTCTCTAATTACAGGTGAAACCTTTTTCTATCCATATGGTAAAAAATATCTAATTAAGGAATATTAGAAGTGCAGTACTGACTGCTGTGTGTACATACTGAAATGCCCTTGTTTGTTGGTTTATGTAGGGAAAATGATCAACTCATTCAAACAGAGGTACCAAAAACATTGCAGCGATATCAAACTGGCAAATAGAGGAAACAAGGCAAAAACTTTGACCCCAATGAACTGGCAGTCCATTCTTGTAAATATAACCATCAGCTAGAGCTATGGTCATTGAATAGATACATGAACCATGCAGAGGAGGAAAATTTGATAACTTTTTACTCTGAAGGGAGGCATTTTGGATCCTTACATTAGACACCGTCAGTCTCAGGGGCCTCAATACTTAAAGTAGTATTAAACTCTCAAACGTTTTTAATAATCCAGAGCAAACAAATACATTGCCCAACAAAGTATTACTTTATATTTTTGACTGAGCACTTACAGTGATCATGTTTCTGAACAGCTGGTTCCAGTCTCTCAGCTCAGCTTTCCTGAACAGTCCTGTACAAGATCACAGGAGACAGAGCAGTCTCCAGCAACTGTTCATCTTCTAACTTTGTAGAGGAGGGAAGTAGCTTGATTTGCTGTGTCTGTGTATTTGTAGATACACGCACAGCTTACTAGCACACACAAGGGTGGCTCCATAGAACTTTGAGAAAGGAGCCCCCCTAAAACAAGAGGGCCAGTGCTCAGAGGACAAGCTGATTCTGCAGGAAGCTAAAAGCAGCATCCATTGTAAGTGATTTAATCAGCATTTGGAATAGCTTGAAAAACATATGCAATTTAGCTCATTGATATCATGTGACAGCTAACTCTATCCCCTTTTAAAAAAAATAAAAATTGTTTATTTTTCTGATTAGTTTTCACACATATTTATCCCATATATGCATCGCTCTGTTTTCTTGCCCTCTTTTTTTTTTTTCTTCCCCCCTTCCTATGTGTTCCCCAACCGTCCCCCTTCCTTTTGGGATTTGCATCTTATTAGATCAGTAGTTGTGTGATGGTCTCTCAACAATGTGAGCCACAC